CTAGAGGATTGGCTATGAGTCAGTAGCAGCTCAATGGCACATAAGAGTAACAACAACTTTATTTAACGTCCATTCTATAAGCATATAATAAGTAACAGATATGAAGGTGTCTATCTGAGGAACCACGCAGTGCTTCCTTGCTCCGTTCACACAACAGCCTCCTGATCTAGGTATAGGTTCTACATGAGCACAATCAAGTACTCTGGGATTCCTATTCTTCTCAATGTCAGCTACAACTTGTCATGATCCACATAGTTAAATGCCTTTACAAAGTCAATAAAGCACAAATAGACATTCTTTGGTATTCCTAACTTTCAGCCATCATCAGCAATGATATTCCTGGTGCCTCAGCCTCTTCTAAATCCTGCTTGTACTTCTGGCCGTTCCTTATCTATGTACTGTTACAGTCATTTTTGAATGATCTTCAGTATTTTGCTTGCATTTGATATTTTTTGATCATTTCCACATTCAGTTGGATCACCCTTCTTGGGAATGGGGACAGATATGGACCTCTTCCAATCTGTTGGCCAAACAACTGTCATCCAAATTTCCTGGCATAGACTGACTGGTGAGTGCATCCAAGGCTACATTTGTTAATTGAAACAAGTCAACTGGTATCCCATTGATTCCTGGGACCTTATTTTTTGCCAATGCCTTCACTGCAGCTTCTACTTTCTACTTCATTACTTTTGGCTCTTGTTCATATGGTACTTCATCAAATGTTTCAGCGTCAATCAATTCTTTTTTATATAGTGACTGTATTCCCTCCATCTTCTTTTGACGCTTTCTGGGTCATTCAATATATTGCCATAGCATCTTTCAATATCGTGTGTGACAAGAGGCTTAAATTTGTTTTTCAGTTCAGCTTGAGAAATGCAGAGCGAGTTATTCCCTTTGTATTCTCTAATTCTAGCTCTCTGCATGTTCCATTATAATACTTTGCTTTGTCCTCCCAAGCTGCCCTTTGAAATCATCTGTTCAGCTCTTTCACTTCAACATGTTTTCTCTTTAGATTTGGCTTCTTGATGTCCTAGTGCATTATTTAGTCTCTTCAGACATCTATTTTGATTATTTCTTTCTCCTCTGTTTTTGTTAAGACCTTTTGCTTTCTTCATGGATGATATCCTTGATAGCAAACCTATTCTTAAGATAGATGATCAAGACATTCAGATGGAATTGATTCAAGGTCATATCTTGGTTCCTGCACTGAAAATCCCATGGACGTCCAAGAGAATGAACAGACATGTCTTGGAGAGGGTGCAGCTAGTGTGTTTTTTGGAGGAAAGAATGATGAGGCTTCTCACATAATTTGGACATGTTGCAAGGAGGTGCTATTCCTTGGAAAGGGACATGATGTTGGGAAGGCTGAAGGGTCAGTGAAGGAGAGGAAGACCCTCAACTAGGTGGACTGACATGGTGACTGCTACAATGGGCTCTTGTGTGTCAGGAAGTGTGAGGATGGTGCAGGACAGAGCACTATTCAGCTCTTTTGTTCAAAGGGTTGCTATGAGTCATGTTCGACTTGATGGCACTTAACAGCAACAACAATCTGAGGAACTACAGAGCCATACTTACCTAGTGGAGAACTTTAATAATTCAATGGTTACATTCAGTTTTCAGAGAAATTATTTACATTTAGTCAATAAAAATTAGTAAAACCAATATGAAATTGATAAGAGAGGGTGAAAATTACAGGGCCCTTTTTGAAATTAAGTGAATGCATGCCCAAACAAGACTCAGAAGAATCTTCTATAAGTTAACAATATACTTATTTTGACACAGAAAGGAACCACAGCAAATAAACTCAAGATCTATAGGAAAAGCAGAACGTAAAGAGTGTATAAGGTACTTACGTTATTACAATAAAATGCGTAAAATACTCCCGAGACGTAGCATCCCAGGATTCCAATAGAAATTCCTGCATAATCTAATGCCATCCATCTCCGACAGGTTTTCTCTGACCGATGGCAAGAAAAAAGATGATAGCCTACAGAGCAAAGCATACAGACCTGTGGGGAAAGAAAAGAAATCTTAGCAAAATGGACGTGAGAAATTAAAACAACTTGTGTGTACTGCTCAGTAAAATGGCTAAGAGTAACTGGCATTCTAGTTAGGCGTGGGGGCTAAGATTTCAGCTCTGCTCCTTCCAAGTCGGGCAAGCTACGCCATTGCTCTAAACCTCAGTGGCCTCGTGGGTAAAATAAGGGTAAGATTCAGAGAGCTATTCTTAATAGCTAACTTACAAAAATTTAAAATGAATAGCAGGGAAGGAATTTCTATTTTTAGAAGTATTTATTATAAAAGTTATCCTAAATAATTTAAATAAGAGTTGTATGATGTAAGAAATAGGACCCCCTCCTTCAGTTCCCTAGAAGTAGCCATTGATATCGTTATGTGTCCTTTAATACATCTAGAAACACAAACGTCTATACATACACAAAATACACATGTTCATTTTTCATTACTACTATACATGCTGTTCCACAATTTGCTCTTTAAACTTTTTTCACGTATATTTAATTGTACAGAGTTTACTTCTAAATTTCTGTATTATTTTGTTCTCCTCCTGTCCCAGAACCTCAAAAAATACCGAAAAACCTCATGACTTATGTTGAGTTGCCAATTTGGAAGCAAAGGGAATCTCAGTTAGTTGCTCTGGTGACTGATAAAGCTGCGGCAGCAGAATACCCTCCATCTACATATTTACTGTATGTATTATACTGGAGACGTAAAGGTGAAGAAGAAGAAACCTCTATAAACAAAGAAATTTTCGACACTGGTGAGCACATACTGATAGAAATCCTTCTGAAAAAGTTAGTGCATAATGCAATCAGAAAATAGGAAGGAGGGCCCCCTCTCTGAGAGCAATATGTACATTTGAGGAGTGAAGTGGCGGAAGGAAAGAAACTTCACAAAGTGCCACCTGTGGTGACTCATAAAAGACTAGTTGTGTTCAAGGGCCTAAGAAGGGTCTGCAAGGAAAAGGAGCACACTGAGAGAGAAATAGGACCCATCAAAAAATGTCCTGATGGCCGTGATCATGATGTGATCATGACAAGACCTATCATTCAAGATGGAGTACCACAGTGACTTCAACAATGGGCTTACGTCCAGTGGAAATTCTGAGAAGCGCTCAGGATTAGGCAAGGTTTTGATCTGCTCTCTGTAAGGTCAATATGAGTTGGAATCAACTTGACAGTACAACATCATCATTTATGAAGTCTTACCTTCAGTATGGACTATGCTGTGACTACGGAAGATTTTACATACACTCTATTAAAGAGGTTAGAGGAAAGACTAGAAGTTTTGAGACTAGAGATCGGCGGCTACCTCAGTAGGCCTAGGTAGCAATGACAAGAGCCAATCTTAGCCAGTGTCAGTGGTCGTAGCGAAAAATGGAACAAGTAAATGATATGAACTATTCCATTTCTAAACATTTTATAAAGAATCGCTAAGGCAGTGAAGTACTCCTCTAACTATACTAAGTTAGTTAGATACTATTGAGTTGGTTCAAACAACAGAATGGATTGCTGTTTGGTCTTGTGCCATTTTCACAATCACTGCTGTCTGAACCCAGTGCTGCAGATAGTGTGTCAATCACGCTCACTGAGGATCTTCCTCTTTTTTGCTGACCTTCTACTTTGCCAAGCCTGGTGTGCTTCACCAGATAGTGTCCAAAATGAATGAGACAAAGTCTGGCTCTCCATCTTCCAAGACATATTTATTCACTCTTTTGGAAGTCTAGGATTCATTCAATATTCTTTTAAAACACTGCTCTTTAAAGACATCAGTTCTTCATCAGTCTTTCTTATTCACTGGTCTGCTTTTATATACATATGAGGTAAGTGCAAATACCATGGCTTTGGTTAGTCCCCTGAGTGCTCTCTCTTCTTTTTAACACATGAGAAGTCTTCTACTGTAAAACTGTCCAATAAAACATGCTGTTTGATTTCTTAACGGTGAAAGTCATCTAACTAGCCTGTAGTGTCACCATGAATATTCAGTAACTATATTTAAATACAACTTTTTCATCCACTAAAATCCTTATTCACCTATGGCTTTTTGGCTACAAGTTAGGGAGTTCTGGTGGCCTACTGGAAAGGAGCTGTGATGCCAAGCCAAAGACACATGGTTCCAACCAGCAGTTGCTTCCAGAAGGCAAAGTGGCCAGTCTCCTCCCATGTGATCAACAGTCTCTAAAAGCCTGTGAGAGGGTTGGCCAAGAGTCCATTCTAACTTGATGGCATATACCAACAGCAACAATAGGCTACAAGACAGAGATTACTGATTCAAGTAAACATTAAGAATTTTAGTTTACTCTCATTCTAGAGATTTAATACTCTGTGAGGAGAAAATCAAGGTTGATAATTCTCAATGAGAGGGAAAGATAGGATGGTCATGTTGAATGAATCAAGAGCAGGTCACAACACATCATGGAGATGATAATATCTTGGGAGTCGTTAAGACAAGCAGGTAAAACAAGTAGACAGGCATGTACATACAAAGGTATGGAGAAATTTTAACCCAAACTTCAAAAGCCGTTAACTCTGGGAAATACAATGTTAAATAATGCTTACTTTCCCCCATATTCTGTTTTCTTTGCTTTAATTTCTGTATGTGTGGGGCAAAGGTTTTATAGTTTAAAACAGCTTTCCTAGCTCATTTGCGTTTTCCCCTGCCACATGGCTGAGACGATGCCAGTAATGTTCATAAGGTGAACAGCACCTTTTGGGAAGGGACCATGCAATTAAAATATGTGTACTAGTGAGGGGATTGGGCAGTCTTGCCATTCCACCTACCTTGCCATTCCACTTGGTTTCAATTGAGCAGTTTTAGAGGCAGAAAATGGGAATCTCACTACAAGTAAAAAAGAAGCAGTAGAAAGTCTGTGAAATGGAGAAATACTGAAACTGAGACACAGCAGCAGCAGGGAATCAGAGACCTACATGAAACAGAGCTGAGCCGGCCCTGCTGCCTCATGGAGCCAGAGGCCTTCACACAAGTCATTCTTGCCAGTCCAAGTCCTTCTTGCTGGAGGCTGGGTGGGGTGGGGTGGAAGGCTCTCATCACAGTTGGCAGGACTAAGCTTTGTAACACTGACTTAAACTCAAAAGGCTGAAGATCAGTGGGCCTGGAAGTACATCAGAATAGCTGTCCTAATTGAAGATCTGTATTCTGTTTCCAAAATGAAATGGATTTCCATAATAAAGCACATGATCTTGAGTGATCACATGATCAAGTCAGAGAGTTCTAAGTGGTCACTGCAACAGATTAGTGGACCAGTAGCAGAGCAGCAAGAAGTCTGCGAGGGATGGCTGGTGTTAGAATTGGTAGAGGTGGGTGTGGGAGAGGAGAGGGGTTTCAAACCTCATCAGAATACTTCTGTGTTGTGGATATTGTGGATGTGGGCTGTTCTTCCTTATGTAGTTAATGGAGGTCAGACATGATCCCCTCATGCTGTTCCTACTCTTTTTTACAATATGTTGTTGTTATAAGATGCTATTAAGACTCATAGTCACCCTGTGAATAACAGATCTGACCCTTGTCAACCCTGTTACCCTGTGTCATCCTCATCTCTCTGACACACTTGAGCACACTGCTGTAGTCAATGTGTCATTCTATCTGGCTGAGAGGGTCTTCCTCTCCTTTGCCATCTCTCCACCTTTCCAAGCATGATGTCTTTCTCCAAGGTATAGCCAGCCTTTCCTAGTAATATACCCAATGCATGTGAGATGAAGTTTTATCATCTTTGCCTCCAAAGTGCACTCTGACTGTACTCGAAGACATATGTTTGTTCTTTGGTAGTCTGTGGGTTAGTCAATCTTATTCTCCAACACCACAGTTCAAAGGCATCAATTTTTCTGTAATCCTTATTCACTGTCCAGCTCTTAGATGCATAAAAAGTGACTGGAAAGGCCTCAATCAGACGCACCTTAGTCCTCAAACTGACATCATTGCTTCTCAATAGTTTGAAGAGCTTTCTGACTGTAGACTTTCCCAGTGCAATGCATCTCCTGCACAGTCAACATCTCCCTTTGCACAGCTGTCAGGAGAAGGAGAAATACTGCTCTTTTACATGTCTCGTAGTAATAATAACAATAAAACTAATTTTATCATACAAAGGGAAATAACATAAGAAAAACACTAAAGTATTAATGGGAAAGTAAAGACAAGAGTAATAGTGTAAATAAAAACTCTTGAGTTTTAAAAATGTTAATATATTAATATATGCCAAAGTACTGAAGAGCAATGGTGTCTCTCTGGAGACTAAGGTGTGTGTGATACAGGCCATGGTCTTCGCAATCACTTGTTATGCATCAGAGAGTTGGACAATGACCAAGGAGGATAGAAGGAGAATTGATGCCCTTGAGCTGTGGTGCTGGAGAAGAGTATTGAGAATACCATGGACTGCTAGGAAAACAAACAGATTCATCCTGGAAAGGGTTAAACCGGGTGGCTCCTTGGAGGCAAGGATTCTGAGGCTCCGTCTAACATACTTTGGACATGTTGTGAGGAGAGACCGGTCCTTGGAGAAGGACCTCATACTTGGGAGGGTGGAGGGACGGCGCACGAGGGGAAGGCCCTCTATGAGGTGGATTGATTCAGTGACTGGGATAATTGGGATGGGAGTGTCAGAGACAGTGCGATTGGCACAGGACAGAGCAGAGTTTAGGGCTGTTGTACATAGGGTCGCTATGAGTCACAAGCAACTCGACGGCACATAATAACAACAACAGTATATGCTCAGTGTTATCCTGTTCAAAAGGGGATATGTTATTGTTAGAGTTCCTTTAAGAATGACTGAGGAGGGGAAAAAAACTGGTACAAGGAGTACTTTTCAGGTATTTGAGAAGTTTACTTATTCAGCATATCTTACTCCTACAAGGAAGGTAGTTACAACGTGTTCTTCACACGCTACATCTAAGCTCCTTGGCATTAAAACAAACAGCTTGTTCTCTGGCTCCTGCCTATCTTTGCAGGCTCATCTCTCTGCATCTAGTAGGGTCTA